GTGTGTGTGTGTGTGTATGTGTATGTGTGCATGTACATAGATAAATATGGTTTAAATCAATGGCATATAAATATTTATATATGTGTGTGTCTGTATACATATTTTTATGTATATATATATATATATATATATTGAATATATATAAAATATATAAAAAATAGGTCGAGTACTCCTCTCACGTAGCTGAATACATGAAAGATCAATATGTTACACTGGTCTGTTATTCAATTCCGTATATCGTGGGCGTAGAATCGTTTGAGTGATGCGTGTGTTTATACAACACTGTATCTCGTATGTGCGTACCTGTACCCAATACTTATAAAGTTCTGACCACAATCGACTTCTCATATTGCGGCCGGAACCAAACCACACGCACTAAAAATTTACTACAGGCAATAGAAATAATGGTGATGTCGCGGTCATACGAATAAAACTTCATCGGCGGATCTCAAGAGTAAGCGTATGCAGAAACGGAGGCATATGTAACTCAACCTGATCGTTCGTTACATTCACTATAAGCACGAAGCTACACTGTCTATCCTTTGGATGATATTAGATATCCCTATGAGTACGAATACCCATTTGATACTACAATGCAGATACAAATCTCAACAGCATTCCCACCAGTCAGCACACAGGTTGATAGAGGAAATGAAACGTAACCGTGCTCGAAAACAAGATAATATTGACTAAACACTGAGAACTACTATCACAGCGTATCACATGATGCTATGGTGATGTCTTTAAGATATATAACCAGTGGGAACACGTCGCATATATAGAACTACACACCTTTCCTGTCTCGGGGAATTCAATCTCAAACATGACCGGCCACTGCACCTCCATCTGAGACAGAGTACTTAATGCCGAGGGGGGTAATATAACCTTGCCTCCGTGTTCAATCTCAGTGATCTTACTGTTGCTATATATGGATAGCATAGCAACGGAGTAGACTCTGTAGCGCTGCTCAAAGTGCCTCGGGCCTATACCCATACCGAAGCCCATCCGGCCATTGGGAAGGTGAAACATAATTTAATGTAGACTGAAAAGGCAGGAATATAATGAAAATTAGGGTGGTTCGTGTGAAGAAGCTTGATAACGTATGGTTTGTATTGCTGTTTATCTTACAAGCAATGATCAGGAAGACGCTTACTTAAACTGCGTCCTTGTGTATATGTATTCGGCGTTAGGCGGGAATGTACTGTTGCGAATTCTGTGTACGTGTATTTATTATAGTGCCTATGAAATATTTGTTTTTTATAATAAAAAATAGTACAGATCACAATCAGCGATCGTGGTGTCATGACTGTCATCAATGGCAATCAGTCAATCACCAAATCGTCATATTTGGCACCGCCACTGTCATGGATAGAATTCGTGATGATTGTTTCATTCACCGTATGTTTATTTGATTTTCGATGTATACCGAGTGAAATAAACTATGAATCTTCAATATTATGCAACGCAACAGGAAAGTACTCAAAGTTTCAGTACGATTTTGGGCTCAAGTGTGGCCTAGTGTTTATAATCTTGGTCATTTTTGTATTTATTCACAGGAATACGACTATAACTTTTAGGCCGGCTCAATATGCAAGGAGGTCAGTATCATGTTTTAAGATTGACTCGCAACTTGTCCGGGTTCCGGCCGAAGCTTGACCTATTTGTAGCCATTGTACCTAGTACAGATCTCTAACCTTTGCTTGAAACTCTAGCAACTTAGTATGTGTGTTAGTATATAACACTGCTTCGGAGGAACCACATTTAAGCATCAAATATCGCAATGCAAGATCATACAGCATTATAACTATACCTGGTGATGGCGGAGGGGAGGCCGAATGAAACGGCTTTCTGGTCATTGAACGCACTCGATGGGCGTTCGCAACTCTCAGTATGGAATCGTTGAGTGTTCTGTGATGTAGTAGCAGACGGCGTTTTTCATTTGGTACCAGTTGCAGACTGAGGTACCCTGATGTGAGATCGGCGAGCTTCTCTAACGCAGATGCTAACTGTTCAGGAACAAAGGCATCGGAGTCCATGGTTTTTATATGGTGCTGGAGCGCTTGACCATAGTACCCTCGGTGAGCATACCAATCTGTAAGCATATCGTGAAGAGTTCGTGTCAAGTGATACTTTGTATCAGATATCCCGGCATTCAAGCAGCGACGCAAAAGTTCTTTAATCGATTTAAGTGACTGATCGATTGTAAAAGTCGACTCGAGCTTAGCCACGTTTGCCGCCAAGTCCTGCTCCATTGTAGAAAGGACACCTGCCTTGCTGCCTGACAATGAAACACTACAAACCGTACATTTAGAAGATGTATATGTCGTCGTAGTATTCATCGCGGGCAGAAACACTAACCCGTTCATGTCACAGCTTGGACAAACGAAGCCACGGGAGTCGTCAGTAAACGTGCATCGACCACAGTCGCATGTTATATTGAGCTTCGATAAGGTCTCGACGCGTGCAGCACTAGGAAGGAATAGTTCGACCGATCGAAAGTATGTGAGTCTGAGCTCCTCGTTTTCTTGTATCTTCCGCAGAGCTCGGAGAATGATGCGACCATCCGCAGTTAGTGACATCCAACTATTTGGTGAGCATGAGTGACGGATTGAACTTACACGTGTGTACAGTCTACCTTCTGTATCATCATTACAATCAGGATGCACGGCGTATTCAGATGCTTGAAAATGTAACAATGCCAAAGCCACACCTTGCCTTTTCGATATTGCTTCGAACTGTTTGAAGCTATTCAAGCATTCGTCGATATTGAAGAAAGGCTTCTCTATAAGACACACTTCACCTCCAGAAACAGCACAAGTACTTCGAATAACTCGTCGATTAGATATTTCATCAATTTTGGTGTTCTCGAGCAGCACAAACTCTGGATCAACAGCGTATCCGCTATACTGTTCAAAAGAATCAGATAGTATGCAAGCATTGCTTACATTGCTTAGCTTAGCCTCCAAATGCAATACCGTCGCCTCGAGAATGCTTTGAAGTGTAGTATCGCTGATCACTTTATCACCTCTCCCATTCGGATGAACTGCGTGGGTGGTCTTGTCCAGAATGTGCTGAATTGACTCGTGTTGTTGTTTGTGAATCGTCCTCATGGAAAGCATGCTGATCATGTAAGCAAAAAAAGAAATCCAGTATATATGGTTCAACAGAATTTACGTATTTTATATATCAAATGGACTCGACAGACGAACCGAACACCGAACACCGAACTTTGATGTACGAAGGCGGAAGGGCTCGTGTGTTTCTTGACCCTATAAAGGCCACCCGCAACGGCACCGTCTGAGTACTTGCCTTTTTTCCAACAACTGAACTATATTGATATACATATTTACAGTATGCCATATAAAGGCGCGCCTAAAAATAAATACTTTGAAGCCACAGGGGCACAGTGACCCAAAAAAAAAAGGCAAATGCGGATGTCAAAATGAAATAAATATTGTCATAAATTTTGAAGCAGGAACGGTCATCAGTTTGTAAATATTTATTTATTTATAGATTGGTTGGGTAGATTTGATTGGTTCATTGTATTGATGTCCCACTTTTAGCCGGGTCAGAGGGTCTTCATCAGCTACATATTTTTATTATTCAGCCGCTACCAGCCACAAGAGAGTTTCAGACTTTCAATTTCAATTTGGTAGTCCGGTTTGTCTGAGTCTCACAGTCACTGCAGTCTGACAAGCCGATTCAGACCTCTATTTATTTATTTATGTGAGTATGCATTGTTTCAGAACTTCATCCGGGGACTCCCAGTAGTCCCCCATCCCCAGACTTCCAGAGTCTCGAGTCTCGAGTCGGCGAGTCGTCGATATTTTAACTAATGAAACGAAGAAGAAGGGGATTAGGGGAACATATTGAATACATATTTACTTCATGCTCTCGATCGAGTCACTCATCGCTTTGAATAACGTATATTTATATATACAAACATAGCTTGTATCTTATATTTGTGTATGTACACACACACACACACACACACACACACACACACACACACACACACACACACACA